TTCTCAGTTGAACATTTTGTTTTTTTATATGAATATACTGTTTTAATAAAGGCACAATATTTTACAGCATAAAACTGCACTTACAGTACAACCCTTAATTTCTACTTCTTGGTCTACATTTCCCATTTAGGTGAATCTGCATGCTTTGATTTCACTATTGCTGCAGGTAAACCCGAATTTCTAACTGTGGGGCAACTGGGATTATTTATTTTCTACTCTATTATATTTTCTATTGCTTTAATAAGGCAGTGTGGCCCTTTTTTTCAACAGAAGGGGCCTGAGGGGTGGAGCTTGAGGCCATTATAGATTTAAAGAAGAGCTCAATGTGTTAAAGAGTGGATCCTGCCCTGTGAACCATCTCTAAAAAGTAGGACTGTGTGAAATCAAAGTGACTTACAGTCTTTGGCAAGTTGGGATTAGCTGCAGTTTCACTGTATCCGATGGCAGTATAAAGTTTAGCCTTCTCTTCCACGGTTAACAACTCATCAAATGCTGAAACGAAGAAAATGAAAGAGCCAACATTCATAAAAACAAAAATTGCAGATGTATCAACAACAATCGTCTGCTGATGAAATGACGCTGGTGCCACTCTTCTGCTTGGTTTCTAACTTGGATGTCTACCGTCCTAACCACTGCACTCAAAGTCACTGCACTCAAAGTTAATTTTTTGGCGTCTTACTCCCAGGCTTGGCATCTTTTGTCTGCTTCTCAGCTTCTCCTCCCCAGCTCCACATCCAGCCGAACCAGCCCTGAGACTCCTCTTCTTCCATCTTCATCCCTGGACGATAAATACGTAGCCCTGCCTTGCTCGCCTGTGGAAGAACTAGAGTCAAACTCTTCAACGCAACCAGATTTATAGTCCTTTCATATTATCTTTCAATACATGCAAAGCTGTCAGACAGAAGATGAATGCAAACAACTGACCCTGATGTGATAGTCATTTAATTTCATTTGAATATCTTATCTTGCTGTAGCTCATTTAGACCAGCATGGCAGCATGAATGCTTTATGTCCTGTGATTTAAAATATGTTCCACCATCAAAATGAACAAAAATGTTTCCTGCTTATAAGACATTAACTTTTTAACTTTGCAAACACGCTATCAGTTCCTACTAAATATGTCCCACCCACTAACAGGCTTCAAAATCCATAGATAATCAGTGATATTCAGAACAACTAGTCAGACTGTTATGTCTGATCAGTGTATATGATAAAATGAAGACATGCAACACATCAATGAGAGGCGTAAAAACACATGACTGGAAAATATTAAGCATTTGAGGAGTGTTGGGTTGGTGTGTGTGTGTAGCCTGGAGCTGCTGCATGATCGCAGGTTGAAACCGAAGATTGTTATTAATGATCCCAAAGGAGGACAGCTAATTCCCAGAATGCTCCCTGTGTGCAGCTCAGTGTGAGGCACACTGCTCTCTAAAGGATGGGTTAAATGCTAAGGATAAAATGTGAGACTATTCCTGTACTCTTAACAGCTACTGTGTTTTGAGGGACATTCATGCATAGAAATCAAACATCAAACTTAATGAAAAAAAAAAAAAAAAACACTGGTTCTTACCTCCACTTCAGCTTGTTTTCTGGTCAATGTGATGTTAAAAATATCTAAACACTTTTCTTTACACTGTGAAAAAAAGACAAAAAGGCATCATTGTAATGACTTCATAGCATTTACTTATAATAAATCAGCATTAACTTGATATTCCTTTTTCATAAAAAAAAAGTTTTAGAACAACTCAACAGAATAAACATGCACAAGCATTGACTTTACTTATTTTGCTTAAAATCAGAAACAGAAGATGACTTAGTGACACACATTTGGACAATCAATGGCTGTTCTTCAAAGACAAAGCTTGAGCTGTTCTCCAAAAACCCTTCATTGTAATTTAAAACTAATTTCAGCCCATTTCCTTGGATCCCACCTCTAATTCCTTAAGCAGCTCTTCTGCTGGCTTTTTGCTGGTGATCTTTGTCTTGTAGAGCTCTTTATAACACTTGACCGTTCTTCGGTGGCGGCGGATGTGTTTCCATGACCACATGTGGAGACGTGGCTTCACATCGACCTCCAGGATACCTGTGATCACATACTTCCACCTGGAATCCAAGAAAACATGAGCAAACAATTAGGTGTTGTATAAGTGACAATAAATGTACAGCAGCCAGTGGAGGTAAAAAAAAAAAAAAAACACACTCAGGTGTAATCTGACCATATGTGAGCATTTCCGTGAACGTGGACCTCAGGTCTGTACTTTCTGTATGGGAGATTTCGTGACATCATATCCACTGAGCCCAGCAACTCCAAAATGCTAATGTACTAGAAAGACAGGAAGTCAGTGATTACAAAGCAGTAGAGTGTACTGCAGAGCTCTTATCAGCTAATGTTGTTGACCTTAAACATCTTGGTCAGATTCTATGGACCCTGATTTGACAGGGACACAACTAACCTGATCTTTGTTGAGTTCAATGGCCACCTCACTGAGGTTGACCATCAGGTCGACTTTCGGAGAGGAGAAATCCACATCGGACCTGGGATTCATTCGCAGTTTAGCATTCGCTGATATAGGACGAAAAACTGCCAACCAGCAACAGAAGGCACATTTTTTAGATACTTAAATAAAGTATCAGGACTTCAAACAATACAGAACATAATTTATTCTTCTCTTTTATAAAGAAACCTTTTATGGTAATACTAGTGGTTACTTTTGCTAAAGATCTATGAATGGGGTGGGGGTTAAAGCTTTGTGAAACACAATTTTAAAAATAAAAAACATTTTGGCACATTATCTCAAATTTAAACTTATTTTATGGGGGTCTTACATGACAGACCAAAACCTAACAGTGAACTCAGAGACTTTTTAATAATTCTGAATAGTCTTTTCAACTTTTGCCACAGGTTTTTCAACTTTAACTTCCACCCTTATCTCAAATCTTTCTGGGACTCATCAGTTTTTCGTTTTTTCTTTAAAGAATGGCTCATTTCTTGCCACTTTTTTAAAAAAAAGGCCATATTTATTAATGGTTTAATGGTTACAAAGTACAGGGTGGCACAACAAACATTTTTGTCTTTTATTTGTAAAATGCTTCAAAACTTATTTCTGATTTTCTTTAGACGTCACAGTTCTGTGTCCTTTTGTGTTTTTCTATCACATAAAATCCTAACATATCTGTTAAAGTATGTGTTATGTGTAGTATATAAGGTGAATGTCATGTACCAAGTATAAAATGTACAAAGTACATTTGAAGAAATTAAAAAGCTAAAAAAAGAGATGAATTTACTTGGTTTTAAACAGATAAAACAAAAAGGAGGCACTGGGTCACTCACTGAAGTCGTGGCTGACAGCAACAGAAGGTTGGATTTCAATGCTGCTCTGAAGACATCGCTAAAGAAATGGAAAACATATTCAGTAACAGATTCCTTTTTATTAATTTTTACATTCAACTTTTCCAATATGCAAAAACAGTCTTATGTTTTACTACTTTTAAAACCAGTTTGAAGTGGGCAGAAATAAAGGAACACAGAAAAAAAGGCAACGATAGAAATAGGCAATTTGTCCAGGTGAAGGCAGTTAACAACCCACATAGTAAAACTCTGGTGACTCACCAGGGCTTCATCTGCGCTGTACTTGGAGAAGAGAACAGAGTCGACATTCCAGTAGGCAAACAAGTTGCTCAGCTCGACCAACTGAGGACAGGCAAAATGAAAACAACTTAGTCATGAAGAGTAATGAAGCCGTTAATCTAGTTAATGCAGAGCTGACTGTCTAGAGGTTTGGGCCACAGCCCAGAGTGAGGAAAAAGGGTTCTGAGAACTAAAGGCAATTAGAAGTTATTAATAGAAGTGACAGAAAACAGTTCCTAGAAAAATAAATTACCTTAAAGAACAGCTTGGAGTGTTCATCCAGCAGACTGGGTTTCCAGTTATTGTCAGCTGTCTGTACAAGCAGAAATTCTATATTATATTACATTACATTACATTATATTATATTATCAGAAACACATCAGATTACCTGAAGGCTGAGGTTTTTAAGCGACACTCCAAATGACAAAGGACAGTTTGGATTAGTGATCTGAGGAAAAGAGACATTGATTATTAAATCCCTGCAGCCTACTAGAGACATTTTCATTCAGTGCTACTGATTATCTTTAAAAATACTCACATCATCCTCATATCGAACATGGATGTTAGAGATCTTGACCTGTACGTTTTTGATGACTTGAGTGACGAGCTTTTCCATGAAGGTGTCCTGCTTCTCTAACGTTGGATTCTCTGTCAAATACAAGCAAATATCAGCACCAACTGTTTTGTTTTGCTTCTGTTTTTTCAAGTTTAGCCACCAAGAAAGATGGTGAAATGAAAGTAAGAATGTCAAAACTCCTGAATAGAGAATTTAACAACAAACTCAACTAATAATAGTGTTTAAGTTTTTAATCAATATCAGCAGATACTTCAGCCCTTTTTTATGAGCTAAAAGTGAATACTATTACCTAAAACATTTAAAAAGAAAAATTAGAAAAACAAATCTGAAATAGGTCATAATTCCTCCATCAGCACTGCCTGCTCAATAAATTACAATCTGTTTTGAATTTATAAAATCAATATATTTTCTATTATAGTTTTTAATCAATATAGTTAAAAAATAAAAAAATATAACTGCTGACGTTTTTCTCCAGACACTAAATATTAAACAGTGTATTTTTTAATAGTTTGCTTTAGATTTAATCTGAAATGCTAACGAGTGTGGCAGCTCATGAACTCATTCCCAGCTATGTCACAAGAAAGTGGTTCAGCTTTCTCCATTATTGCTCACAGCTTAGCTTAATATGCCTCTGAAACCTTCTACACACAAACACAATACTGTTGGACAGACCCACACATAAACACTCTGTTTATCTTTATGAATCAGACCTTGCTCTGCAGCCTTGAGCTTTGTCTCTTCTATCCGCTGAAGTTCCCTCTGGCGAGCTTCCTGCAGCTGCTTCTCCTCCTTTTCTGCATCGTACTTTATACCTAGAATCAAGGTACAAAATATCAAATAGTGTCAAATAGTGTCTTAGATTTCACTACAACTATACTTGCTGATCAGAACAATTATGCATCTAAAGATCATTAAAAATAAGGGTTCATTAATTATTAAAATGTACACTTAAAACAGACCAAACAGAGAGTGATCCAGATATATTTCTATTCTTTGCTTAGTTTGTTTTAATATTAATTAATTAATATATATTTTCACATTAAGGAATATTTCCTCATTTGCTAGAAGGCTGATTCCAAAAGAGAAAAGAAATCCAGCTGATAAAGAGCTTAGTATCTCAAACCCTTCTCTGCAAAATGAGAAAGTTGGGCAAGAACATTTAACATATGGTTAAAACAAAACAAAAAATAATCTTAACCAAATAAGCATCCAGATCTTGAAGAGTTTGGAAACAGGTCTCCATAAAGTGTTGTACTTAAAATAAAATTAAAAAATTATTCATTATCATCATTATATTTATCCTAATGTTATATTTTTAAACCTAAGTGCTGTTTTAACACAACTAACCACAACATCTTACTGGAAAGTTTAGTTTAGCATTTCTGGTTCAGTATTAAATCGCTTTCTTAAGGGAACTGCTGTGCTTTGCTGCACTGGTTGAATCTTTCTCAGAGCATTACCAGGTTTCTGTGAAGTCCCTCAGGTCTTAGCACAAAGCCCATTCTTTTTAACCTCTCAAAACCCATTTTTCTATTTGTAAAGTGTTGACAGATAGTAAGTCAGAATGCATGAAAATTACACTGGTAAAATGTTTACCAATATAGACATGTTAGACATCTTTGGAAAGCTTAGATTCCCCACAATTCAACCACCTAGTTCATTTTATGGACACAGTGAGCACAAAAGCACAATTTACACAGATATAGCAGCATGTCAAAATGTACTATGACAAAGCAGCCACAACAAGCATTTCTTTATAACTGCTGTTCAAAAAATACCTACTATTTTCAAGAATAAAAAAAAAAAAATTTTCAGTCTTGTTTGAACTGGTGCAGCTTGGTTGTTTTACTCACCCAATTTTCATGTAGATATTCAGAAACTAGAATGTGTTAGCTTTCAAATAATGTATCGCACATGTAATTTGGGCTTACAGTTCCTAAGGTATTTGCTTTTCCATTTGGGTATGCAAAGTAGGCGAGAATTTCCCAAACTAAGGTGGGTATTGAGAGGTTAAACCTTTGAATATTTCCTCAGGAAGATGTTAAAAAAGAACTGAACTTCCATCAGTAAGTCAATTATGTGCAATTACATTCATTTCCAGCCCATCCTTGTTGATCTTCCTCAGGGATTGCAAACCTTCATGTAGTTCAGGCATAGAACAACACTGAAACACTTAAACCCATCCACTGTCTTCCTGTAGCTTGAAATAATTTAAATATTTAATCACATGTTGAATTTTTTAACACCACCGCACTTCACTTTTTAAAGTCAGTAATTTTTTTATTTTTTTTTTACTTTGATTATACTTTGGTTATTTTTCTTTTCTCTTTTTCTCCCTTCTATAATATAAATCCTTGGTATGCTTACTGTTTTTATAAACTGACTGCACATACTTCTGCAGAATACTAAATGTTTTCACATCTTTTTTTTTTCCCTTCAATCTTTTGGGGCAAAAAAAAAATGATGCAAGAAAAATTTGAGGAAAGTCTGATTAAAGTGGCATAAGTGGAGTTATCCCTCACTGCTGATTGATTTCAGTGATTAGATAGCAATCTTACTCGCTGTGGGAACGATGAGGAGATAGACCCCATCTAATGTGGCCTCCACCGACTTGTTGTAGATGTCCGTCCATGGAATCTTTAGTTCCAGACGCCCTAATGAGAAAAAAAAATAAAACAAATAAGAAAATGTTCAACCAAAAAAAAGTAACAGACCAAAGATAAAAAAAAGGATGAGATGAGTCCAGCAACTTTACCTATGTGGCCAGCTTTCACTTTAAAGGGGAGGTCCAGTTGACTCTGCAAACAGAAATAGTCATTAGCATTTCAACAGAAAGATGTATTTCCTGTCAGAAAGTAATACTGAGAAGGTTAAAGTTACGTATATATGGCTTCAACTCACCAAGGCATTTTCCTTTATTTCAAGACTTTTCAAGACAGCATCACCTGTAATTACAGCATTACTTAACATACAATAACATAAAACACACCATACTTTCTAGATATTCTATATTTTTTTTTGTTATTGTCCTGTATTGTTCAGTTGTGGGTGGCTTTGCCTATTAAAAAACTAAAAGTAATAATAACAACTGGATATAATCTTGGATATTCACCTTGTGCTCATTATTACCTATTGTCCCTTTAAAAACGATTAAACAGACACATAAAAACACTGTTATCTCTATGACTTATATGTAATGCATCATCATAACTGGTTACTGCTCTCATCAAGTTAGCTGAAATGTGAAGCACAACCTTTAATAAAACCCAAAGCAATAAAAAATATATTTTCAGACTTTTCTTTTCATACAAACCTGTGTAAAACAGATACACAAACATTATTTTCTAACCCTTCTGACCTAAAATAAGTCTATTAATTATCTATTAATAATCAGACTATTTCATTGATACCAGAGTAACAACAGAGATTTATTTTTACTTCAAAATCCAAAAGATTGTCTAAATTTCTTTAGTATTGGGTTAAAAATGCCTATTACATGGTATGGCTTTGGGTTAGGGTTTGGCAATTAAGCAATAAAAACGATTAATCAAATTTTCTGTTCATGAAGATTTCATTTTTGGAAAATCTGGGTATCTCCCCTTCCACCCCACTTCTTAGACCATAGCTCAAGATCAGCTCATCACTTTCTGCTCTTAGAGATGTACTTATAATTTATAGACTAGCTCACTGTGTGATACTGCTAACTGCAAACATTTATTTTTTAATAATCATTGTTTAACAAGCATTTTCACAGCTTGAATTTCATCAGACTTTAAATGAAGGTCCCTTCCCAAATGGAATGGTTGAAATTAGGGCTGAAACAATTAATCAGATTTGTTAGCTATTAACTTACAGAAAATAATAAATATAAACTAAAGTTAGACAATTAAAGAAAAAACGTCTGTGTTCTTGAACGGTTTACATTAATATTTGATTTCATATCTACATGCAATTTCGCATGAGTTCATTAAAATAAAAATAAAAAACACTTGGTCAACCTAAAAAGTAAGATCAATTTGCTTTATCTCTACAACAGCAAACAGAATATCATTTCATCAATAAGAAAAATGTTTATTTTAATCTCATCGTGTTCGACAAGTTCTTAGTAACAATGTGAAAGTGAATGAATATCAGGCTCTTAAGAAGGGTGGGACTACGAACTGGTCCATTCCCACAAACTTAAAATATCTTTTTCAAATAAATATAATACCAAGAGATATTTTCTGCAGTTAAAAACACGAATTACTTATTATTTCATTTAAAAACGCTGAGATGAGAATAGACCAATAAAAGACAAACTGGAATATAGAAAGTGAGACTGACAGCTGGGAGAGTCTTCCAGCACACAGGACTAGTGGCTGACGCTACTAGCATGTAGCAAGCTAGCTTGCTAGGTAACTGGTGAAAGACAAATACAAGTTCGGTTACCTCCCCATATGCCAAGCTTCAGCTGCGAGCTGTCAAGGTTCACAACATAGTCCCCTAAAAAACGGTTTAGGACGTCAACGACCACACTTTCAAGGACCATTTTGGCGCTGTTTTCATCTGTGTATCACCATGTTTACATCCAGTGGACTTCATGTAGCTGCCTCAACGTCAGAATTATTAGTAAGACGTCTAGCGGTGGGAAAGGAGGTCCGTACGTCCATTGGTTACGTCACGCCGTAACTGCTGAGTGAGAACTCGGTATGGCAGGTTATAGTAGCATATACTCCCATAATTCTGAAGAATATGGGCGTGAAACGAAGACATGGTTATTATTATTATACTTTTTTTTGCATTCGGATTAGAAAAATTAATTATGGCGTTATTTGCACTGCCTTTAGGTGCTCAACTAGTAACATCCATATTGTTATGTACTTGATCAATATTATTTATTTATTTATTTATTTTTTTGTAGTTTAACCAGAATGGTTGGTGGTTCTTTTCCTTTAGCATGATCAGATATGTACACTCTATTCTAATTTTTGATTACCATTTTGGTTAACTTTTTTATTTGCCACTGACACTCCTGAATTTCCCACTTGAGTGGTATTTAAGGATATTCCAGTTTCTTTTATATTCTAAGCCAGCCAATGAGGTAAGACAAATGATTAGCCTCCAAGACTAGTAGTTCAATACTACCCCCTTTAAGTGGTAGTTAGTCAATAGTAGCCACATTTAACAATGAGATGTAAGATGGGTTCCCTCTCCAAAACAAGTCATGGTCTAGAGCAGGGGTCTTTTTCCAGGCCAAGTACCCCCAAACTGATGGCGAGATGGAATGGGGACCCACTTATTATATATGAAATTGTGTTATATCGAACTGGTCCGATAGTCACTGTATTACAGGTGGTGTAATGTAACGAAAGTAATTTTGCCCTGGGATTATTGAAGTATTTCTGATTCTGATTCCTCGTTTATGGGGCAGGTGTTGTGAATAAAATGGTGCCCAGCTTGAAAGAGCTCCTGTGTGTTTTAAAAAAGATAAAATTGTCCAGAGAGCTGTTCCAAACTAAATTTCTTTTTGCTTTACACTGGTGTAAACAAAATGACAAATAAAATCTGTCTAATGTCTAAAAATGTCTAATGTGTGTCGCTGAATGTGTGCATTGATGACTGAAAGAAATCTTCTGCCTCCATTTATCTGTTTACTACAGTGTGTTGAATTCATGTTAATGTGTATTTAAAGACATTTCAATTAGTGGAAAAAAATTGTAGGGGGAATATAAAAAAAAAAGTCTGATCAATTAAAACTTTCACGAGCCCCATGTAGTACCTCTGTGGACCCATAGGGGTCACGGACCCACTGTTGAAGACCTCTGGTCTAGCGGTATCAAAACAACAGAGCAACCTTGTGATCCTTCACTTTCTTGCTAGTTTGAGGACATTTGAGAATGAGTTGATGCCAGTTTCAGATCCAGAGAAAAAACATTTGATGGATAATCAAAATAATTTCTGTTTTTTATCATATAGTACATGTTGGAGTGCCATCATAAGTGTTTTGAAAGAGAGCCCTGCTAGATAATAGAAATAGGGAAATTGCCTGACACAAATGTCATGCAAATTTATTGAATAACTGTGAGACGCTAATCAGCTATTTAATTATACAATAGCCTGACTTATTTTCAGATCAAATTGGAGAGTGTTTTAACTTTGGGTTTTATGAATCCATGTGAACAAGACATAAGAAGTTTAACTAATCTTTACCTACAAACACCACAGGACATATTTTTGTCTGTGACCACAATATAAAAGCCAAACTGTATCAAACAAACATTTTCCATAAAACTTTGCATTGAATACATTTTCAAAAAAGCTTCCTTTTTTTGGGATTACATTTTCGTATTCATATTTTTGTTTTTCATAAAGATATTGATTCTTCTCTTTGCACATAGTGATGAGCATAACATCTCACAGTGATGGATTAAACAGTGTGTGCTTAAAAAAAAACTTTTTCACCTTTATGAAAGACATTTGGAAACATAATAATAACATAACATCACAGAGATAGAAAATAAAACAACAGTAAATACTGTAGACTTCCCTGATTAGGGTGTTCAATGACATCCGAAAAAATTCAAACTCTGGAAGAACCACTGTGCTGGTGTTATTGGACCTCAGTGCAGCGTTTGATACTGGTGATCACACGATTGTCTGGAAAACTGGGTCTGCCTTTCTGGATCAGCACTGGATTGGTTTAAATCCTACCTGATGGACAGGGACCAGGGAACTTTAAATCAGAGATCAGAAAAATGCCATGCGGGGTTCCTCAAGGTTCCATTCTGGGGCCCTTCCTATTCTACATCTACATGCCCCCCTTGACTAGGATTATAGCACAAAACCAGATCAGTTACTATCACAATGTCACTACTGTATGTGACTATGAACCCAACAGAGCATTTGCTATATGCTTAGAACAGATCAATATATGGATGTGCCATAATTTTCTCAGTTTCATGTTTCAGATTGAAACAAAACTGAGGTAATAATCTTTGGACCAAAGGGGGAGAGATCCAGAGTTAGTTCACAGCTTCAACCGCTAAAAAACACTAATTTTGGTACAAATGGTGTCATGGTGAACTCAAACCTGAACCTTTAACATTGGGTGAAATTTACCTCTTCATTTAACCCAGGCATCCCCAAACTCGGTCCTCAAGGCCCCCTGTCCTGCAGGTTTTAGAGGTTTCCTTGCTCCAGCACAGCTGATTTTAATTGAAAGCTGATTAACAGGCTTTTGGTCTACTGCAATCATTATAACCAGCTGTGCTGAAGCAGAGAAACCTCTAAAATCTGCAGGACATGGGGCCTTGAGGACCGAGTTTGGGGATGCCTGATTTAACCCCGGGGAGAAGTTTGGGGTTAAGGATCTTGCTCAGAGACCCATAGTGGCAGTCTGTGGGAGTGGGTTTGGAACTCAGAACCTCAGGATTTTAAGCTCTATGCCTTAACCACTAGGTGGCCACTCCTAAGTACTGCAACTATTCTAGATTTGTGAGGACATTTCCTCAGTGAGTCTTACATTTTTGTGAAACAATCTAGTGCTTTAGCATTTCTTTGCATTTGACTAATGTTGTTTTTTCAGAAGCTATAATTGAGAGTGACTAAAATATCTTAAGGTGATGAAAGCAGTGAAAAAATGCAATGCAGTATCAACACCAAAACAAAGCAAAAACAAATTAAAGATGTGATATTTTTTGCAGGACATAGCTGATCCAGATCTGCTCTTACATCTGTTCTCCACACCATAACAGGTGGGATAGTGGTTTACAGATCACCCCGATCAAAGTTCCCCTCTTCAATGCTCCTGCTGCAGCTTTATCCAGCACTTTTAACCTGAGCTGCAGCTCTAGCAGATCCTTTTGGCTCAGCTCTGTGAAGTAGAAATCTTCATTGAACACAGGACAGCGGCAGTTCCTGATGGTAGCACTCTCCTGCTGCTGCAGCCTTCCTGGTGTTAGGCAGAGATTCACAGCGCAGTTCAGGGTTTGTTGCTCATTTGGATCCAGCAGGCCTTCTACAGAAATTATACGCACTCTAATAGTGGAAGAGATTGAGCATGTACCGTTAGAGAATGTAGTGTGCTCAGTGGAGAGGCGAACTCTGCCTCTGCTCTGCAAAGGAAGGATGTGTTCATGCTGAAGTCTCTTCTGGCAGTGGAGGAAGTCCAGGGGATGGAGGACAGGTGGGTGCAGGCCCGGTGGGTTTTTCTTCAAAGACGATTTGCTGGAGGAAGAAGTCGATATACTTAGTCCTAATTTCTTTGGCTTCATGCTTTTCTCTATGCTATCAATCAGCGAAGGGCAGGACACTGTTTCTTTAAGACGGCAGCTTCTGGATGGGACATTTCTGGGTGTTTTGATAATGGAAGGAGCTCCAGCTTCTGCTGCTTCCGAGAAGCTTTTGGATGCAAGCATTGGAAGAAACTCTGACAGAGTTTTCTTTAGTGAGGTCATTTCCTTCACCTGTCTGGGCTTTGATGTAGGGATTCTTCTTTCGAACGTGTACATGGGCCGTTTTGAATGAAACAAAGATTCTTTCCTTCTAGTGTTGGGGCTCTCATACACCCCTGCCAGACCATAACACTCTGCAGAGAACGGTAAAGGTTTTCTTGGAGCATCCTGAAGATCTTCATTGTTTTCCCTCATCTTCTTTTTAGTTTGGATAGTATTTGAAGAAGTCAAGCTCTTTGGTGTCAGCTTCTGGTTGTCCAGAGACAGAGGGGTCATTTCAGGCTCCAGCACTGGGTGTCTTTTGCAAAGCCTCGGAGGCAGACAGAACTCAGGGATGTTATCTGGAGTGATGATGTTATTGTGAAGATTCTGAGAGACGCTGACCTTTGAGCAGAAAAAAGCATCCTCATCCCTCCTTCCAATGTAACGATCCAGCTCCAGAGGAATGCTCTCCATGCTCTCCCTTATCTTCCCAAGGACCCACATGGTCAGCTGCAGGCTTTGCACAAAAATCAGTCTACTTAAAATAATTACAAAATATGTAATTTAGTAAAAGTTTCTGAAATCTTTGATCAAAGATTTCCAAAAAAATGCAACAAATGTTATTCTCCCACCTGTGATATTGAGAGGTGCCCTTCTCTGTAAGGGAGATCTGCATGTGTGTGATGCATGTGGCAGGTTTTAAAGGTTAGCCTGAGTTAGTGCGTCACTGGTCTGCCAGCCCCCGCATGCATCAGAGGGTATTATGGAAGCATACATCCCCCAGTACACATCACGGGGTCGGTCTGTGTGTGAATCTGGGTGGGTGCCACATCAGATCAGATGCATTCAAGTGCATTTTGTTGTGACGTAAGCTTCCTTGAATTTGATTTTTTATTTTATTTTTTCAGATCAATGCTTTATGCACTTTGGAGATTTAAAGTGAGTCATGATGTATTAAGTGAAACATTCCAAAAATGCAATATACTTATTTCCTTTTTCACACATGTATAAATTGTTGATGTGGTGTTGCTCCAAAAAAGTTTTTATATGATTAAAAGCAGGACCCATTTCAATTTATTAAAGAAAAAAAAACACATGTCAACAAATTCTTAACACACACTTGAACACTGAAGATGCTGATCATTGTGGAGGAAAACACTGTCATTCATTTAACCTCTGTGATAAAAACTTAAAGAACAACAGAATAACTGAACTGTTCCACATTTCTCATGTTCCATTATTAGTCAGAGCAATAGAAAATTGTGCATACTTGTGAAGAAGGATGACGATTATTCAAGGTTTTCAGTTTTCAAAAGAAATGGAGTTCTTTTCATTTCACCTCAAATGAGTTAATTCTTTGTTGAACACCATTTTGCTGCAACTAGAGCAGTATGCCATTTGGGGAGTGATTTACATGTTTAGCCATATTTCTTTGGGAAATGATTCAGGCAGGTGGGATTGAAGTCTTTTTTATATACTTTATTTTTGATGATGAAGTCTGAATTTTGTCAATACATAAATACATTGTTTATTCTAAACCATTCTATTGCAGGTTTAAATTAGGCTGCTGAAAAGCAAACTTCTGACTAATGTAAAAATATATATATATATATATATATATATATATAGTGTAATAAGTCTGTTTTGCTCTGATTAAAAATATCTGTATTTAGCCTTTAGTTGTCCTAAATGACACACTGAAAATCTATTTACAGTAGGTGACTAAAATCAGGAAGTCTGATTTGATATTAAATGCTTAAAGGAGAGGAGTTCTACCCAGCTAGAATATAAATATCAAATTTTAGGCACAGAAGTGTCCAGCATGTGTTGTGGTTATGATGGCATGGATATACCTGACCTCCTTTTCAAAGTCAGTTTAAAGACCTGGGTGCGTCAGGCAAACAGGCAGCAGCGACAGACCTCAAAGAGCAGGTAACCTTTAGACAGCTGGTGATCGAACAGACTGTTGATCTGAAGTCAGTACACAGCTTTGAGTTAATATGTATGCCTATGTATGTCAAAAAGGTAAAAATTCAATATAATCCTGCAGTTTAAAATTTTATGAGATACATGGAAAACTATTGGAACTCTTAAGAATTTTGACAATTTAGACATAGAGTTACATTCAGCCTAATGTTGTCAAATAATTTTTCACATTTTATTAATTCACATTGACCAAATTCAATTCAATTCAGTTTATTTATATAGAGCTAATTCACATCACATGTCATCTCAAGGCACTTTACAGAGATAATTCAACCATCTGATTGCATTGACTCATCTATAAACAAAGGTGTTGATGGCAGCAGCACAGCTGATATTTCTGTCCAGGATGGAATCACAAGCAAACAGACAGACCAGATGAAGCTACTATGAGAAAAAGCAGAGAGAGGATAACGTTAGAGTTTGAACTTACAAAATCCTGCTTTGTAAGTGAAGAAGGAGGTTTTTAAATGTATTCTTGACAGGAAGCCAATGAAGAGAAGCTAGGATATGAGAGATATGATCTGTCTTTTTTACTTTCTTCAGAGGTCTGGCTGCAGCATTCTGGTTCAGCTGAAGGCTTTTAACTACAATATGTGGACCTTCTGTGGTTTAGATGATTAAAAACCAAAATGAAGCTGAGATCATGACAAAGAAGGATGATTTTAAATTGTATTCTGGAATTAACAGGAAGTCAGTGAAGAGAAGCTAGGATAGGAGAGATATGATCTCTCTTTTCAATTTTCCTCAGAACTCTGGCAGCAGCATTTTGGATCAGCAGAGAGCTTTTAACTAGAAATTGTGGACTTCCTGATAGTAAAGAATTACAATAGTCCAGCCTTAAAGTAACAAATGCATGGACTAGTTTCTCAGCATCACCCCAAGACAGGATATTTCTAATTTTTGCAATATTGTGCAGATGAAAGAAGAAAATTATAGAGACCTTATTGAATACATCATGTGAATACATCATGTGATGTATTCAATAATCACATGATGTATTCCCCATGATGAACAAAATGGGGGATACTGTGCATCCTGTTACAATGCCTTTCTCCAGTAACTACCATGCGGTGGTAAACTTGGCAGTCTGGAACCGCAGCTTGAATGACCCCAGGTAGCTGTTAATCATCAACCTGATTTGTCGGGGATGTGGTACTGCTCCATAGCCTTGTTGATGAGAGAATGGGGCATGGACCCATATGCATTTGCGAGGTCCAGCCAGACAACTGTTAGGTTGCCCTTGCTCCCCCTGGCCTCCTGGATCAGATGGCTGAGGATGGTGGTGTGTTCCAGGCATCCAGAGAACCCTGGAATCCCCCCCTTCTGGATCGAGGTGTTGACGTATCCATTTGTTGTCATGTAGTTAGTTATTCTTCTCGCCAAGACTGAGAAAAAGATCTTGGCTTCTACACTCAGGAGAGAGATGGCGTGGAACTGGCCGATCTCAGAAGAGTCCTTCTCCCTTGGCACAAAGCAACCCTCTGACAATCTCCAGGTCGTTGGTGTGGTACGCAGTGCTGGGAAGAGCTGCAGCGTGCAGGAATATACCACCATCTTCAGGGCTGTGTAAGTTTAAGTGCACAGACTCTTCTTTGCTGGCAGCGTTCATGCATGACTTTGTGAACGCTTAGTTTCATCGCTCTTGGATTCCGCTGCAGTGATGCACTCACATTGCCTCTTGCTCCCTCCAAGTGCTCAGCTGTCTCTGCAACTTCTATGTAACTAGACAACAAGCCTTGGAAAATTATGTGACTTATCAGTCAATCACACTGTGATAGGAATTACGGGTTGTGCTTGCATTTCCAACTGTTGTTTGAGCTAAAGAAATACAAAGAAGAAAAAAGTAGAAAAAGTACTGTTTAAATAGGATGAAGTAACAATCGGTCTCTATTTGGCTCTAAAGAAAATCCCATTTTAATTTAGCAAACTCTATGTTACTAACTTCAGCATTTCCTGTAAAGTATTTCATACATTTCTGTTGAAATGTTTAATTTATCACCATTGCAATTTCTAACCCTCAACTTGATTTGTGGACTAATTTACTTTGCATGATTTGATAACTTAGGATGTTAAATGAACCATATACTGTAATAAAGTCAATGGCCACAACAGAAATAATTGAACTGGGAAAAACCTTGAAACACTCGCTTGACTAGTTAGACAGCTATCCTAAAATACAACTTTAGGGAACGCAGAAGAAAAACAGAAAGCCTGCACATAAACAAAAAGGAAGTTATCATAGAAAAACCCTGGCTTAGTTTGGGTTTGAATCCTGGAGATTTTGCTTTCTTGCAGCACCACATAAACTTACTATGTGGTTTTCTTATCTCTTGTCCAAGAGTATAACACCAAACATGTTTATCTATAGAATAGGTCAATCTAATTATTTAAAAACTGATTAGGGAAAAACCATACTGAAACATTTCAAAAAAGGATGCATTTGAGCAATAAGATCTTACTTCTTAGTCAATAAATGGTATTCCTGTTTTGTAATAGAATAATAAATTGTGTATTCTGATGTTTAGAACTAAAAAAATCGAAAAATATTGAAACTAATTTGACCCCTTTATCAGGATGTAGTATTGAACCTGAAGACAGATCTCGAAAAATAGATAGAGATGGTGGAAAGGTTGAAAAGGGTAAGGATATTGATCTCTGATCGTTTAATGATGTCATGATGGGTTTTCTGGTTCCTACTGTAACCCACGTGCAGAACACACTCTGAGACAGGGAAAGAAGTCAACAGTTTATTAAACAAGCCACAATAATAATTTCAGATCCAGGGGGGGGGTATCAGATCCAGGATTAATCACGATAGGGTTTTCTGATCTGAAGATGAACTGAGCAGCAGAAAGGGGGAGCCAGGAGGGTCCAGAGGCTTGAAGTTGGCAGATGGCTAGGCAGTAGTGATGTTATGAGATGAGCCGAGGCTTCGAGGCGTGTGTCGAGTAATGGAGGGGGCGTTTCCCCGATGCGCGTGTCGAGGCGTGATTCATTTAGAGGAGGGGCCAAAATTGATGACGTCCGAGGCCTCGCTACCGTGATACCACGTCACCGGTTCGCTAAGTGGTTCGGGAAGCGCAAGAATTTTGACAGGCATCTAAACAGCCTCAGTGTTCAGTCAAGATGTGGGAGATTGGAGGAGATTGGAGCTGCTCTCAGCTGGATAAAGTTTGGATAGATTCTAAGAATATATTGGTTGTTTTTCCAACCAATCTAGTTGCTTAAAGCTAATTTGGTTTGAATAAACAATGTAATGATCAAACGCTGAGCAAACCACCAGACAAAGCCAGTGTTAATACGTCAGTGTTAAGAAGTATTTTCTCCCATAGCAGACCATCTACATGATTGGCATCCTCTGTTAGGGACAGACTCTCACGCTAGAGGTTGATGGTTCAAGACCTGTCTCTCTCTTTTGAAAGTTGCGATTAAACTTAAGTATTTTGGCTGATGAGACTAAAATGCATTGTTTTGCCCGAGTAAAAATATAGATTGGGAAAATTAGTTCGGTTTAGTAAAAAGACTGATTGAACACAACTTCCAACCTGATTAAAACCAAAAAACATGGAAAAACTATCATGTTTGAATAAAAATGACTAACACCGTTCATTTTGTTCATCATTGCCCAATTTGCACAAACACTTTCACTGTCTGCTTGAGTTTATTTCACTAAAATGGCAGAAAAACTGTGCACCTTAAATGATTGCTCTAAGAAATTTTACACTAAAAAAAAAACGTATAAAATTTTATTATACACACCAACCATTAACAATTTCAAGGGAACTTAAAAGGGGAAAAAAAAGAAAAACAATTGCAAAAAAAATCACAGATTTTATTACAAACTGTAGTTCTGCTGTCCACTAGTAAGTGGTGACATGTTCACATGAAGCCTCATGAACTGTGGGGATCGTTGAAGCAATTTGGCCAAACGGTTTAATGCCTCATGAGGCTTCATCTCACCATCACTACTAGGCAGCGACAGAACTTAGCTTCAGACTTCTGGAAGTCAGAGAATCAGGCAGGCTGGTTGGCTCAGGATTGCTAACCATAACTAGCTTAACACTCTGGCGCCGAAGAGTAGTTCTGCTGCTGCTTATAAGCTGGTCTCCTGATGACTGATGGATCTCAGGTGTGGTCCTCAGCTCAGCTCCAGGAGACCAAGAGGCGCCCTCTGCTGGAGGAAGGTGGACAGACCTCCAGATCCCAACAAATGAGACCAACGAGTCTTGATATAGTTTTATTTGTTATATTACCAAAGACAAACACCTATTCTAATTAAAACAGAGATAGCCCAACTGAACAACATGGGAAGAAATATTTACTAAAAACCTGTTTATAAGGGTCATAAAGTTAATGAGATTGATTAAAATAGACATATTGCAGTAAAGTAATGGAAACAGTAACTGTGGTTGTGTTAGTAAAATTACCTGTTCCATTGGCACTTGTAATATTCATTGTAGCTAGGAAATAGCAAAGCACAAGTTAGTTTACTGAAATTTGAAAAACTAAAATAAAAAAGTAGGATTTAATAGTTGACATTGCTTATTAAAATGAAAGCAGAAATGNAACCCTGGAATCCCCCCCTTCTGGATCGAGGTGTTAATGTATCCATTTGTTGTCATGTAGTTAGTTATTCTTCTCGCCAAGACTGAGAAAAAGATCTTGGCTTCTACACTCAGCAGAGAGATGGCGCGGAACTGGCCGATCTCAGAAGAGTCCTTCTCCTTTGGCACAAAGCAGCCCTCTGACACTCTCCAGGTAGTTGGTATGCTGCCCTTTGCCCAGATTGTCCGGAAGAGCTTCCAAAGTCTACGTAGCAGAAGTGGACACTTCTTGTACACTTTGTAAGGCACTCCGCTTGGTCCAGGGGCTGATGCTGTCCTTGCCTTTTTCACCACCTCCTCCACTTCCTTCCAGGTCGGTTCTCTGGTCACCAAAGGTTCTGAGGGGGGTGGCACCTTGATGATCTTTGGGTGGCTGCTAAGAAGTTCATACCTCTGTGGGTCACAGTGAGTCAACCTCAGAGCCTCTTCAACCTCCTCCTTAGAGCTGCTGAGTGATCCTGATCTTGCTTCTCCTAATAAGGTTTTAGTGAACCTATAAGGGTCTTTGATGAACTGTGCCCTCTTTGCCCCCTTCTTCTTTCTCTGCTTCCGTGTCTGCTCTGCCCTTCTTAGCCTGCGAAGCTGCTCACGAAGCCCTGATGTTAGGTCTCTAATTCCCTCTTTTTCCCCTTCGGTGGCATTCTTGAACTGCCTGGATAGTGCCTTTATCTCTCTCCGCAAGCTCTGCATCTCCTTTTCCCTACGATTTGGTTGCCGGACATTAGGAGTACTGGTCTTCCTATCCTCGACACCAAACCGCTCCTTGGCCACATTATAGATGATTGCTGTCATCGTTGCCATCTTCTGTTCTGCTGCACCTACCAGAGCAGTTTCAAGAATCTTACAGAGGTCCTCATCCAGCTGCTGCCACTCCTTGTTGCTGTTCATTTTCGGCCATTTTATTCTGTCCTTTGCAGGTTGAGGTTGCTGGGAGGCATCAGAGTTGACCACTGTGTGGTTCAAAGGCAAAGCTGTTGCCAAGAGATCTCCAGTGCTGTGGGGTGCCTCCTGACTGGGGTTCTCCTGCGTCTGACGAGGTGTCTCCACCCTGCGCTGCAACAAAATTGCCTCCTTTCCACACTTGGTCTTGGCTTGATGGATCTTTAGCCCTCTGGTGTTCTTGCATATCTTGCCACATTGGCATCGCACTTCTGGTGCCGTCCCTGTCAGTGTGGTTTGGGTGAGCCTTCTCGTTAACCGTGTATCAGTCCTGGTCTGTACCGATGTGTCCGTCCTTGCGAGTCTCTCATCCTCCCCCCCTCTCGGGAGACTCTGGGGGTATTGCTCATTGTGGTCATTCGTAGCTTGATTTGGTGCCCTCTTGCGAGTGCTGTACATAAGGTTGCTAGCCTCATGCACCCATGCCAGGCTTTCCTGGAGGTCAGCTGTCTCTCCAGCGTCACTGATCTTCCTCAGTTGCCATCCAGCCTTTCCTGGACGTCACTGGTTGCCCAGGAATTACTTATTGAATACATCATGTGATGCTAACATACAGTCACTCCCTAATGTGACTGTGGGTGGTTCTATAAATAGATAAATATAAGCAGGTGTCAGTTGATCACTGTTCCAGGCTCGCCAGGCTCAACGGGTTAAAGGGTGTGGTTAGAAAATGTATCTACAGTAAGCAATGTCTGTATATCAGCTGGTGGATTTGGGTAACAGGGCACCAACTGTTTCATCTAGTGCCCTAAAACAGGCTTGCTTTTCATGAAAAGTAGATTTTTGTTTGCAATATCAGCCTGTAGGTGCCTGAAAGCCTGTTTCTTTCATTTAATTATTTTATTTCTTCTCAGTGGCAGATTCAATATATGATTGGCCTGTTCAACTAGTATCTGATTACTCAAGGACTGTTTTGTCTCTTTGTTTAAGCAAACTGTTCTGAATGATACCTTTAGCCGTAATGGAGCCTTAATAGTTAGTAACATCTCTGGGTTCCTGTCTCCTCAACTTCTCCGTCTCAGCAAGACTGTTGGTGTGAGCAAAGTGTAGACAAGCTTTGTACCAATTCTTTGCACCTGGAGCTGTCTAATCTTATCCTATTAGCAAAGGTAGAGTTTATTTGATTGAGGAGTGTTGGAGGAATATTCCATTGAAAAGCTGCAAAATATCCAAAAGTCAGATGTTATGTGGGAGATAATGAAAAGGAGGAATTGGGAAGAACAAAAACTTGCCCATTAAGTGGTAGGCCAGTTAAAATCACAGAGTGGGATCAAGGTTGGCTGCATGTTGGGGCAGTTTGTAGCACAGTTACCTTCATTACCTAAGAAGGTCTTGGGTTTGAGTCCTGGCCTAGGGT